TCCTGACTAATGCTCCAAACTTATCGTTGTCTTCTTAATCATTTTTAATGCTCCACTGAGTAACTAAAAGCTAACATTTCTTTTAGAAAAACTAAAAGACGCTTTCAAGTGATTATGTCTATATCTATTTAGTCAGCCTTCTAAAGCAACAATTTACTGTCACAGGGGTGGGGGTGATCTGTTAAGGCAACTTCATGAGCTGGCTGAGACTGAACAAAAACTTTCTGTACACCAGAGAAGATTGACTGAAATCGAAGCTAAGGTTGACCATGAACATATTTTTTTTCTTTCTCTGCATAAGAATAGATGAGCTTTTGTGATAGTCAGGCCCTTCTTAATTGCAACTCAATACATTAATACTGTGTTTTTGTGGCTGTTTCTGCTTTTCCTTGGGAATTGGAAGCATTTGTACATGAGTTGATCTTGTTACATATTTCATTTATATTTTTGTCGATTCTTAAATTGCAGATTACAGAGCTTCTGCCTCTTCAGAAGAAGTTCATGGACCTTAAAGCACAGTTAGAACTTAAATCGTATGACCTTTCATTATTTCAGGGCAGGGCTGAGCAAAATGAGCATCATAAGGTTTCCAGTTCTCTCTTTTTCTGGGCATACGGAGCACATATTTATTCTGCAATCATTTGATGTATAATTATTTTTTGGTGCTACCTAGCTTGGTGAATTAGTAAAAAGGATTGAGCAGGAGCTTCAGGAAGCGCAATCTGCAGCTAAAGAAAAGCAGCTTCTTTATGAAGATTGTGTGAATAAAGTGTTAGTGCTTGAGAAATCAATCAAAGATAATGATAATAGCCGGGAGGGAAGGCTCAAAGATTTTGAAAAGAAGATTAAAGAAACAAAAGCTCAAATGCAATCAGCTTCAAAGAATCTCAAGGTAGATGTTGATATTGCTGACTTGTAATATAAGGATTGTCCACACATGAGGTTTTCTAACTATATTAGTCCTCCCTTGAGGTTTCAAGCTAATTCATTGTAGTTTATTTTTAGTTTACTTCGTGATATAGCCATTATCTTTCATTCTCTTTCCATTATATAAACTTGAGAGGCAGGGTCTGTCAATGTTAAAACTTGAAACCACATAAAAACTGGAGGAATGTCATGTAAGCCTGGGAGTTCTGTAGGATGTTCATGTTATTCAGAAGTGATCTTGTAGCTAATTTTTATAGACAACTGCTCAGATTATTTTAGTTGCTGAGTTTGTAAAAATATCTGCCTGATTCCGCAGTAGCTCTTTAACTTTTGTTTGGCATGGTTTTACTCACTGCTAGGGGCATGAAAATGAAAAAGAGAAGCTTATTTTGGAAAAGGAAGCTATTATAAAGGAACTTGCATCTTTGGAGACTCAGTTAGCTTCTTTGAGAACGCAAATTGACAACCTAACTTCAGAAGTAGAAGAGCAGAGAGAAAAGGTAAAGACTGATATTTGATTTGACTAGTTCTCTTGTGTACAATTTTCAATGGTGCATGCATCTCGTTTTCAGGTAGCTTCCACAAGAAATATGCATGATCAGGCACAATCTGAGCTTAATTCGATTCGGATGAAGATGAAGGACTGTGATTCCCAAATTAGTGGCATTCTTAAGGAGCAGCAAAGACTTCAACATAAACTTAGCGAGACAAATCTTGAACGGAAGAAAATGGAAAATGAGGTAATTTTCTAATTTTCCTCTATATATGTTCTCCAGAACATTATATGCTAACCAACCTCCTTTTCGATTTTCTTTTCTAGGTAAAACGAATGGAAATGGAACAGAAAGATTGCTCTACGAAAGTAGACAAATTGATGGAGAAGCATGCCTGGATTGCATCCGAGAAACAACTATTTGGTAAAACTGGGACTGATTATGATTTTGGCTTGCGAGATCCTCGTAATGCAAGAGACGAACTTGAGAAACTGCAGGCACAACAGTCTGGGTTTGTGACTTGGAATTTTCTTTTTCATCTTTTTTGTTTTTGATCGTCTGCTTCTAAGACTGAAGTATTTTCACTTTGAGATTATCTAAACTTTTAAAGTTATGCTATTAGTATCTTCCATGATGCAAAGATGACTTTCCCCCTTCTTTTGTAGTCTTGAGAAAAGAGTGAATAAGAAAGTTATGGCAATGTTCGAGAAAGCAGAAGATGAGTACAACGATCTCATGTCTAAGAAGAACATCATTGAGGTTGGTTACCCTTGATCTGTCCAAATACCATTTTAGCTTTCTTTTTCTTACCCTAGGTTTGCCTTTCCTAGAATGATAAGTCTAAGATCAAGAAGGTGATAGAAGAGCTGGATGAGAAAAAGAAGGAAACACTGAACGTTACTTGGGTAAAAGTTAACAAGTAAGTCTTCTTTTATGTCATCACCTGCTTTGAAATTTAGTTGACTTTATATTCATCTACTTAGTTCTCTATTTTATGATGCTCTTGGTTCTTTCTTCCATTACAACTTCCAAATTTTTCTTCCTTCAGTGACTTTGGATCTATCTTTTCTACACTTTTGCCCGGCACAATGGGAAAGCTTGAACCTCCTGAAGGGTGCAGCTTCCTAGATGGACTTGAGGTTCGTGTTGCATTTGGTGGTGTTTGGAAACAGTCCTTGTCAGAACTGAGTGGGGGTCAACGATCGCTGCTTGCACTTTCTCTCATCTTGGCATTGCTTCTCTTCAAACCAGCTCCACTTTATATACTGGATGAGGTCCGCTTAACTTTTACTTTATGATGTGCTTACTTTATGATAAATCCAGCTACGCCATATTACTAAATTCCTTTTATGTTCTCTTTCGTTTGGAGTAATGTAGTAGGCTGCTTATAGTACTTGCAATAGAGTTTCTAAGGGCATATGTTGCTCTCTATTTGTTTAGACGTAATTTTTCTCGGCATGACATTCTCTTCATTTGCAGGTTGATGCGGCTCTTGATCTAAGCCACACACAGAATATTGGAAGAATGATCAAAACTCATTTCCCACACTCCCAGGTCTGGTGGATTCTCTCATTTGCATTGGCATTTTTTGTTTCTTTTCATGATAAACTTTGATTGAAACCTCTGAAGAATTTTGAACCGTTGAAAGGGTCCAAACTTTGGCTGTAATCATTTTATGGGAAACATAGTTCTTACATGGGGCTTAAATAAGAATGGTGCTTTATGCATGGGGTTTAAGTAAGAATGAATGATGTCTTATAAATTATAATCAAGCTGTCTTCATCTCTCCCCTTGTTCTCATCACATTTTGTAGTTTATTGTGGTTTCACTGAAAGAAGGCATGTTCAACAATGCTAATGTTCTTTTCCGGACCAAATTTGTGGATGGAGTTTCAACTGTTCAAAGGACTGTTGCAACTAAGCAGAAATAGTGATTTTGGTTATTTTTGGAGAATCATGCGAATTCGGTACCTCTCCACCTCCTTACCATATATTCTTTCCACTATCTTTTTTCATGTTCATTTTCATTTTGGTAGCTCCTATAAAAAAAATAATGTTGCGTTTTGGTAGTCTTATGGCTTTTCTATGTACTTTGACTCATAACTTGCTAACTTTTCTGTTTTGTTTCAGATGTTTACAACATGGACCTTTCTGGTGAAGCTTATTTATGTGAAAAATGTGTAGGGGAAAACATCTTGTTTTTCTGTTTTTGTAATGCTAATTATGTAAAAACAATTTCCAGCCTTCATGTATGTAAAAAGTGTAAACGTAATTGCTGCCTACTTTTTAGATTTGTAAAATACTAGTTTGTGATTATATTTATATGCTCGTAGAAAAACAAACAAAATGAGTTGCGGCTTTTACAAGATCACAGAGGAACATGAGAAAATCCGAGCTTCACATGACAGGATTTTTAGGATCCTTACGCGTCTTTGTTGTGGCGGTGCGGTGCTCCAAAAATATGCAACATGTCTTGTAGTGAATGTCTCCAGAATCTGAAGTTATTATAACAAAATGCATATCTTGGGAAGGGAAGGATGGGATTGAATATACCTGTAATCACCTCGCTCCATCCGATTTTGATTTGCCCAGAAAAAAGGTTATATAATAAATCAACTTGGTAGTTGGTACTGCTACTTCGAGTAGTAAATTCTAAAAATAGAGTTTATGTTGAAGGGTGAAGAAAGTGAAATAGGAAAAAATTGTCAAAGCGAAGAAAATTATATTCAGGTTCGTTGCTTAAAGATTAGACTGCATAAACTACAATATTAAACAACGAAATAATAACTAAATAAAATAGAGCCGTCCAAATGTGCCTCCATTTGACTTTGGAGCTATGTCAACTAAGAGCAGGGGAGACTAAGGAAGAACAATGCTTATACAAATAAATAAATAAGTTAAAATTTCAATTTCCGTTGACTTAATGCGTTGACAAATTTGCATGTCAAATACCCAGTTACTTAAATTCATTTATTTATTGTTTAGGAGTCAACAAACCCTTTAAAAAAATATAATTATTTTGCACGCTCAAGCATTTTGCCTGTCTTCAATTCTTGCGAGAGAGAGAAGGTAGGAGGAGGTAACACCTGTAGTTCTGAGAAGCAACGGTTGCTTTGATGGTGACACAGAGGCAGAGACTAGTTGACTTTTGTATAAATACTTCCAAAAAATATTTTGTTTCTAATTATATTTTATATGTACAGCTAAATCTTGTTCCAAAATGATGCTCTAAGATACTTGTCTATTGGGTATTGGGCCATTTCATGAAATCCCTAGAGACATGGAAAATCCCATGACTTGATTTGTTTGTTTCAAATCAATAATTCTATTTCAATGTCTTCATATCATCACTTATTAGAAACAAGTTAATTATATAAATTTTAAATCTTTATTTTTGTTTTAAATATTGAATGGGGTTGAAGTGTCTTAAGAAAACAGTTAACAATGTTGACATTTTGGTGACGGACGTTCTTCTCTGTATATATATAGCTGCACCAGAGTGCCATTTTTGATATGCATTACATTGCATTGCGGCTAAACAGAGAGAGAGAGAGAGAGAGAGAGAGAGAGAGAGAGAGAGATGAAGAGCAATCAGGTTCGCTTGAATTGTGGAATAACAATGCCTGTCATTGGGTTGGGCACATATTCCTTCCAAAACGACAGGAAAACAACACAACAAGCCGTCCATATGGCCCTCAAGGTACACTCCGTACAATTCTTTAAAAAAAAAAAAAAAAAACATTTACAAACTTTTTATCAAGTACTAAATGAATGAGAGCATATTCTAAAAGTGCATGATTTTGTAATGCAGATGGGCTATAGGCATTTTGACACTGCAAAGATATACGGTTCTGAACCAGCCTTAGGAAGCTCTTTGACAGAGGCCATTCTCGATGGGAAAGTCGAAAGAGAAGACATTTTTGTTACATCAAAGTTATGGGGAAGTGATCACCATGACCCTGTTTCAGGACTGAAGCAGACTCTCAAGTAAGCAAAGCAACCGTTGCGGCCATTATTAACTATATATGTATATATAATATACTTATATTTGTTACATTCAACTCAATTTGGACCCATACCATATCATATGTCCTTCAATCACTCAAAGTGCGTGTGAATTCGAATACAATCTGGTTTGATCTTCTTACATCAGCAGGATCTCTTCTCCCTTCTCTTGATGAGATCTCACCTCTTTTAGCTAAAAGATAAGATAATGATGATGAGGATATAAATGAAGACAAAATCCATGGCCTAGGATTTTGAGAATAAATCCATGCAAGTTGATAGATGGATAGATACTGTATCTTTTGTAGAAGAAATAAACAAACTAATGCAAATATCTAAGTGTAAGTCTAAGTGTGAATAATAAAATTATTTGATTTGATTTGATTGTTGCAGGAGCATGGGCATGGAACACTTGGACATGTACCTAGTGCACTGGCCAGTGAAATTGAAGCCATGGGCTTGCAATCCCATTCCAAATGAAGATGAGTTTGAAGATTTGGACTTGGAAACCACCTGGGCTGGCATGGAGAAGTGCCTGGATTTGGGGTTGTGTAGGTGCATTGGTGTAAGCAACTTCTCCTCCAGAAAGATTGAGCAGCTTTTGGATTTTGCTTCTGTGCCTCCAGCAGTCAATCAGGTAAAATTTATCAGGGATTCTGCAATCCCAACAGCTTTAGTCAAAATAATTACAAATTCATGAGGTTAGGTTTGAAAATGCATGAAATTTTTTCCAACCCCCTATGGGTAATGGGCCATTCCTTTACTATTTTATTATTCTTCGTGTTGGGTTTTGATTACAACTCACATATCTATAGACTGTAATAGTTTTTAGTTTGAACTCTCATATGCTTCTTGTTCTTTGTTTTTATATATTGGCTTTTTCAACTCTTGTAATCTCTGTTTTTTTCCTCTGTATAACTTTGGGGCATGAATGAATTGTTATTGAAAAAAAAAAAAAAATAGAAATGTCAATTGAAACAATGTTAATGCATTTCTTCAAAGGCAACTATGGATATTATTGTCCTCCTTATCAGTCATCTCATCACAATCAATCATAATATGTACAGGTGGAAATGCACCCAATGTGGAGGCAAACAAAACTTCGAGGGGTATGTGGGGACCACAATATCCATGTAAGTGCTTATTCACCACTCGGTGGGCCCGGGAATTCATGGGGATCAACACTTGTGGTGAACAGCCCAATCATCAAGTCCATTGCCCTCCAGCGCAAAGCAACCCCAGCCCAGGTATAAAATCCAATCAAATAGCAAACCCAAAGTTTTTTTGTTTTTACATTTATTTTTAAAATGTAAAATTAAAAAAAATCAAATCAAATTTTTACTGGATTTTTTACTTAATATTATAGGTTGCCCTAAGATGGGGATTATCAAAGGGATCAAGTGTGATTGTGAAAAGCTTTAATCCAGAAAGGATGAAGGAGAACATTGGGGCCGTTGATCTGAAATTGGACGACGGGGATCTCATGGAGATAGACAGATTGGATGAAAGGAAGATCATGAGGGGAGAGTCTCTTGTGAATGAAACCACAAGCCCATACAGGACACTTGAAGACTTATGGGATGATGAGATTTAGTTCATTCATTTTACATTACATTCTTGTATAATTGTATGCAATCAATCAAGTTTCATCTGCAATGAAATATTATAATTTTAAATACAAATTGTGCCAAGACTAATTTTAAGTAGAATTTATCCAATAGATTTTGAATGCCAGCTACTTTTCTCCAAATCATGATCCTGCCATTTGGTCTTCCCATAAACATAATAAAGAGCAGAATATAACAAGATAGAAAATGGTTGTGGGTGTCCCACTTTAAATACAAAAATGAAAATCCATATAAAATTTTAAATACAAAGCATGCAAAGACTGATTTTAAGCACAATTTATCCTACAGATTTTGAATGCCACCCAGTTTCTCCAAATCCAAATCCAAATCCTGCCATTTGGTCTTCTCATAAGCATAATTGAAGAACTGGATTTTGGACAAGTGTTGGTTGCATTACAAGATGCTGGATATGAAATAGCCTTTGAAGATTTGTTCTTCTCCATTTTGTTTTCTGGCATACATTTTGATCTTTATCGTCCAACTCCAAACCGATTTGCTGCTTTGAATGAGAAACCTTCAAAATTGGCTCTTTTCTCCACTTCTGTGTAATTATTGGATTAATGAAACTTAATTACATACACAGCTATCCTATGTTACATACATTGTTACAAGAAAAAACCAAGGAAGAAAAAAAAAAGATATCATACTCATGCCTGCTTTGAGCTGGCTAACATCTGAATGGAATGCAGTCTAATTTTCCACAAGCCGCCTGACATTGTCATTGGACAGCGGCGAAATGCCTTGCTCGATATGCTGGAAAGAGATACGATAACAATATGAGCCGGTGGAATAAAACCACTAAGAACATGTTGTAGGATCAAGGGAACCTGGAACTGAGTTATGTAGCTGTCACAGTTTGGGTTGGCTTGGGACTGATTAATTTGACCATATAAACATCCAAGTTTTCCAGGTTTAAGAAGCAGAAAGTTTGGAAGGAATGCATGAATTTTCAAATGTTCATCAAAGGTACCTCAAGAAGATAGCCATGCAGCCAATCCAATGTTGGGTTGAATGTAGTTGCTGATAGATTGAGAACTGTCGAGCCCTGTTGGAATGAAAATGGCAGAATAAATAACCAAGGATAAACCAAAGGCCAATTCAGAGATTAAAAGGAACCGGAAATTACATGAAGACACATGCATACCTTGGAGTTGAATGAGCAAAGATAGTCCTGAATGGTGTTTAAGTTGCTTATCAGCTTATCTCTGTCCTAGAAAAGGAAACAAGAAGGTTGGGGGGATTGTTTCTAACTTTAAAAACTTATCTCAGTTAACAAACACTTGGGATGTTATTAAAATGAGAAGAAGAAGCAAAAATAAGCCTATACCCAAGTCAAGAGAATATACAATCGTAAATACCTGGCCTAGAAGTTTATCGCTAAATGTATAAGTTGAGAACCACTCCTCTAGTAACGTCTGTAGACAAGAAGTGTAGTTAGACAAAGTGATGCAAAATTGAGAAGACAGCACAAACAATGAGGGAAAGGCTGAACATAAGAACCATAAAAGTAAAGCAATCATCTTGCAGTTGCATCAGCAACACCAGAAAACTCGAGAATTGCTTTACCAAGAGCCATGAGGAAAAGTGTGAGAAGTTGTATTCATGTTTTCATGAAAACTGTATGTTATCAAGTGTGTCTTAATGATTTGGAAGCCTACGATGCAGAACAAAAAGGAACCTAAAGCAACCAAGACCAAAGCCAACGAAATCACACATGCAAAACAAGGACAGGGAAAAATAGAATTTGTACAAAAATTTATATAAGTGATAGAGGACGTGATCGCACATTATGATCAAATTCAGCCATCTTCAGAACTAGAGGTATAATTATTGGTCCAGGACCAGACTTCTCTTTCTCAACAGAAGTACTTTTAAGCTCCTCTGGACCTTTAGGACTTGCACCTGCATTGCCACAAAGTTAGTTAGCGAAGTGATATCTTAGAGGTTCAACTCTTTCACTTCAACAAACATTATGTGAATGTGCCAGTGGTTGTATGGACCTTAAAGAATTTTACTAGAACCACCATAAAAAGTAGTTGCACAACTGCCATGTGTTTGATATTGGTTAAACATAAAATAAACTTTCTGAGAAATATCTTTAGCTGCTAACCGTTTTTAATCTCAGAAACACTTCCTGCTAGGCCAATGGCTTCCAGGTAGTCTGAAACTTTGTTAACCTTGTTAGCTGTTGTCCCTTCTTCCGTGCAGGCACACTCATTTGCCTCCAGAGTTTTCTCTTCCACAGGAGATGATGATTTATTTTCATAATCCATTAAATAAATGTTCGGATCCAAATGCATTCCCTGTGATTATCATTAAAAGACAATATTGGAAATCATCCTAGTTGGCAGTGAGAACTGAGTGCACAGAGAGCTTGCTAATGCTACCTACATTTTTTAGCCAAATAACTCAACTATGACATGCTTGCTAATACCTCTATTATTATTGGTTTTCCATCCTTGAGTGCTTTCTTCAAGTCACCAGCCAATCCTGGGGAACACATGTTACAGGACAGAGATCATAAATCAACAGGAAAAATTCAGACAAAACTTTGTTCTTGCAGAGAGAGAAACTGCTGGACATGCTCACGGGCCTCAAAACTATGTTCTGATTCTCTAACGGTTATCTTCAAAAGTTGTCATCTGAAGAGATGTATTAACAAGGAAGGAGACTACCTTTACGAACAATCCTGCATTCCCTACAAAATTCAGTAATCAACTCTTCGGAGGAGCTGAAGTCTCGTGCCCACACAGGAGTAGATGCCAATGGTGCACTGAATTGGATAAAAGGAGAGAAGAACCAATGTTTTTAGCATATATTCAAATGTAAAATTGAGGAAATAAATAAAATTGAGAGACATACTCTGTGGATGTGCGCAGCAATTCATATACTACATCTGTCTGCAACAGTCATTAAAAGAACACAAATTGTATAAAATAAAACTTCATGGAGAGGGAGGGAAGCAGATAGCATTTTCATGACAGATATTGAAGAAAAAGGACCTGCATGACATTAGGCAAATTCAGCCTTTGTGAAATTTGGGTAGCTATGGTGGACTTTCCGACGCAGGCAGTTCCACATAAAAGAATAATTAGTGGCACTCTTTGATGGTGAAATCTGAAAGAAATTAGGGAACCCCCAACAGAAAAGTGAAGGAAAAATGAAAGTAAGGTATTACCATAAAATGCAGCAAAAAAGGTTACCATGTTCTTCATTCTATTCAATTTCTAGGTACTACCTACAAGGAATTTGGACTGACCTAGTCATCATCTTGTAATGATTTACGTACTCTTCCCCATAACCCCTTTGCTCCATAAGCTGCAAATACAGAGATGTGTAACAAAATAAATAAATTCTTCAGCATCTTGAAAGTTTGCTAAGTGCACCTCTTTTGTGGTACAAGAACAACAACTACGTACAGACAGAAGCATGACATTACCTTAAACATATTAGCTTCCAAATCAGACTGCGAGCTGCAACACAACAACAATGCAAAGTGAAACCATTGATAAAAATCTAAACGAAACTGAAACCCAAAAAACAACAATATACAAAATAAATCCCAAAATAAAAAAGTAGCTAGACTAAAAGAGACGGCATACACATCTAGAAGGCTGTTGTCTACGAGCAACTTCTTGAGCTCAAGAGCGATTTTGACAGCTGCATGATTTGGGATCTGAACCACCACCACAAAAATTCATTAAATAAAGAAAAACATAATTGAAAAAAAAAAATTATTATACGATGACGTAATTAGGAAATACAGATTGAATTGAGGCAGACACTTAATACAAGAAGAATCAAAATGCTGAATTTGTTTGTGTGGGATTGAGACCTTAGTGACGGTTAACATTCGGCTGAGCAAAAACCGGGAAAAAACGTAGTAGTGCTCGGCATGATCACCCAACCACACCTTCACCTGTTTACAGAACAAAGAATTTACGAGTCTGATTTTCTCGGGAACCAAACAGAGGAGAAATGGGAAGAAAATGAAGAACCTTGACAAAGTCGTATTTGGAGGAAGCGTTGATGATTCTACGACCCATATTTCCTTGCAATCACTCAATGCTAAGTGCATGTACATCTACCATCAGCATCTCTTTGCATCGGCCACCTCTTTTACGTAAAAGATAATGATGAGCATTTCAACGGAGGAAAAACATATAGAACTTGATGACCTAGGATTTCAAGGATCCATGCAGCCTTGTTAATATATTATTCCTGAAATGACAAACTCATGCCAACCATTCAGAATGTCCGTACAAAATTTCGTTGGTATTAATTTGTAATGGGATGTGGCAGGAACGTGGGCATTGGAACATGTAGACATAAATGTTTTTAGTTTAGATTTTTATTTTTATTTGCCTGCTATGGTTTCGGAGCTTGGCCTCTACTGAGGCAACATGTGGTAAAAAATATAACCACGATCATTAATAATATTCGTGAGGAAAAATGTTTTGAGTGCAGCAACAGAAAGTTTGATGAGAACTCTAGTGGGATTTCATGAACAGCAGCAACAGTATCGACAAGAAATATTATTGCGTCTCCCTTGTTCATATATACAGAAAAGATGAAGGAGGTGCACGTACAATTGAAGCGGTCCTATACTCTATGATGAACATCCAAAAAGTGGTTAAGGACATCATGATCTTATTTTGAACAAACCCTAGATGGGCTCTCTTAAGTTACACAAACGAACACTATGAAGACAACAATTTATTAAATGAGTTTGCATGCCAGCAAGTTTCTCCTGTGCCCCATAATTTGGTATCTCGTATCGAAGGGCTGAATTTTGGAGAAGTGTTGGGTGCAATACATGAGGCCGGATATTAGTCGGCGGAATCCAATGGGATCGAATTTTGTAAATTATGCCATGTAAGTAAAAACTTTGTTTCACAAGCTGCTGCTGCTGCAAGGTTCTTCTAAGTATTTGTTCTCCATTTTGTTTTCCCACATCTGATCTTAACATCAAGCCGGTTGCTGCTTTCATAACCCTAACTGGTTCTT